CCTCCAGCTCTTGGTCTTAGGCAATTCTCTTGCCTCAGTCTCCCGAGTAGCTGGGACACCTGCCACAACTGACTGTTTTTTGTTGTAGTTTGGCCCAGCTGGGTTTGAACCCGCCTCCCTTGGCATATGGGGCTGGCACCCTACCCACTGAGCCACAGGCGCTGCCCAAAACAGATTTTTTTTTTTTTTGAGATAGAGTCTCACTATGTTGCCCTCAGTAGAGTGCTATGGCGTCAAGCTCATAGCAACTTCAAACTCTTGGGCTTAAGCGATTCTCTTGCGTCAGGTGCTGCCACAACACTCGGCTATTTTTTGTTGTAGTTGTCATTGTTGTTTAGCAGGCCTGGGCCAGATTCAAACCTGCCAGCCTGGTGGTGTATGTGGCTGGTGCCCTAACCACTGAACTACGAGTGCTGAGCCCTTAAACATTCTTAATATTGAAATTTTGGAGCCCTCTTTTTCCTTGTTGTTGCCAGGCTCCACTGAATATAGGCAGTGACCCATTCTCCCCCTTTACTTGATCTTGAAGGTAGAGGCTGAGCCAAGAAGTGTTCTCTGGTGTCCCAAGGGCAAGGAGGTGGCCTGAGCCTGCCACTAGCTTGAGTCCCAGGTCCAGAGAGAAGGCCCAGGGCTCTGCATGAGGCTGGGGAATATCTGGAGGGGAGGGAGAAAAGATCCTCCTGAGGCCTCAAAGCTGGGACTTCAAGCAAGGAAGGGGCTGGTGGTGGAGGGAGACAGGATGGCAGAGCTGGCCATGAGGGCAAAATAGACTTCAAGGAAGTCTACCTTGGAGACTGAATTCTGCATGAGTCCCTGGAGGGAAGAATATCCCAGGTTGTAACTCTACATCACAGCTTCTGAGGCTAGTGGGGACAGAGGCAGAGGTCTGGGCCTGTTTGTCCAGCCAGGTATCCCGGCGCAGGCAGGCATCCAGGGTAGGGACCAGCTGGAGAGGGTGGGGGTAGGGAAGATGGAGACCTGTGGAAATCAGGGCTCTATGCCTAGTCTCCACACCCTCATTTCATTGCCCTGAGACATGAGCACTTGGACTCCCTGATGCAGTTCCTGTCCCATCCCCTCTCCTTAAAAGCATGGACTTACATTTCCATAGCCAACCACCCAGCAGTGCTTTACCACGCTTTGGCCACCATTCCATTCCTGTGATGTAGTTACCGGCAAGCGAAGGTTGGAGGGGGGAAAGAGCAGCCCTCCCAGTGCAAGCCTCAGGATGGGCTGGAAATTGGTGGCCAGGGGCCCAGAGGCTTGTCTCAGGCATAGCACCTCCTCCCTATCCACCCGTAGCATCACTGAGTCTCCATCCATCTTTAGGTCTACCTACAGGAGAAATAGAATTAGTGGCCCCTGGGACCTATCTCTGTCACTTTCTTCTGAGGTAGCCCAGTGCTAGAGTGGAAAGAACATGCCCCTGAATACTCAGCTATCATCAAGCTTTGTCAATTATATACTGACTGAACCTTAGAATTCCTACTGGAGGGCAGTGCCTGTGTCTCAGTGAGTAGGGCACTGGCCCCATATACCAAGGGTGGCAGGTTCGAACCTGGCCCCGGCCAAACTGCAACAGAAAATAGCCGGGTGTTGTGGTGGGTGCCTGTAGTCCCAGCTACTCGGGACTTAGGAGGCTGAGGCAAGAGAATAGCCTAAGCCCAAGAGTTGGAGGTTGCTGTGAACTGTGATGCCATAGCACTCTACCGAGGGTGACAAAGTGAGACTCTGTCTCAAAAAAAAAAAAGGAATTTGTAATCAGAAAAAATTAAAAAAAAAGAATTCCCACTGGAAAAAATGGAGACAAGAACAGCTACTTCATGGGGTTTTGAGATGACAATGGTAATGGGATGCCCAATAACTTGGCTTTGTTCCCCTTTCTCAGAACTGCCCTGCATACCCCTTGCCTCAGGAGCAGAGCTAGCTTACCTGATGCCATCTCCCATCATCCAGCCGAGGTCCAGCACCCACTGTAAGCTGGGACCAGCGATTGAGCAGCTGAATCTCAGGCCTGCCATCCCGAAGACCCAGCATGAACCAGTCATCCTTAGGATTGGTATCTCCATACAAAATTACTCCCTCTGGATCCCAGGTTCGAAACTCAAAGGAGGAGGTGGTTCTGGAAAGACAGGTAAGGAAGGAATGTGTATGGAGTGCGCCCTTTGAGTTTCAATGTGGGGTTGGGAGAAGTGGGGAAGTGTCATTCAGGAAGAAGAAGGACAGGAAAACAGGAAAAAGAGAAGAGCTGATGGATAGAGAGAGGGTAGGTTCTGAAAACTAGGTCAAGGAGCTAGCTTGATCCATACTTGGTGATCTTGGTGAGATCAAATGTCATGACAGTGACAGGCTCTTGTCCCAGGCCATTGTCAAGGTGCACAGCAGGAGGGTCCTGGGCCCTCTATTAGAAAGAGAAAATAAACAACCTGAATAAGGACATGCCAGAGATAGATAGAAGAAGAGGCATTGCTACAGGGCCAAGGGAGGAGGGAAAAGAAACAGGCAGAGTCAAAAATATAGTTCATTTAGACACACATATAAGCTGAGTGCTCTGTCCCACCCCTGCACCTGGGTGGGGAGAGTATGTCTCAGGGGCTGTCCCTGGTGGCTGTGAGGCAGTAACAGCAACAGCAACAGCAGCAGCAGCAGCAGCAGCAGCGGGCATGAGGTGGTCAGTTGGCCTCCGCTCTCCATAATCAACAGCTGTCCACTCTGTGACTCAGACAACTCTTTGAAAAATACAGCGGGGGCAGGCAGCCTTGCGCATGGGTGCTGGAGGGTTAAAGGTTGCACTGGGGGAAGGGGGAGGCAGGAGAACTGGGCACTGACCCTGATGCCCCTCTGAGGTCAAATGGGGTGAGGGACAGAGTCCCTCCACTACCATCCCTCACTGCTCAGAAAGTTTATGAGCTGAGAAAGCAAACGCTATTTCCCCTCTCCTCTCTAGAACCTGGCTTAGATCCTCCAAGCCTCTGCCCACCTGGGGAGGCTGCCTTGACAGGCCTGATGTCTAGAAACAGGCCTGCAATGCTCCCCAAGTACCATCCTTTCTTAGAGCTAGAGGTGAGATATGGAATCCTAAATATTTAGCTGGGTGACCTTGGGCAAGTCACTTTGTGCTTCAGTATCCAAAATGAGGAAAATAATACTTTATGGGTTGCTATGAATGAAGGTTAACTGAGATAATGCAGGCACAGTGCCTGATATCTGGTGAGAACCTTTCCCCTGTGTCTTCCCAGGCCTCTAGTTTGTTTCACAAGAAGGTATTGTCTCGGGTGGTGCCTGTGGCTCAAAGGAGTAGGGCGCCGGCCCCATATGCCAGAGGTGGCGGGTTCAAACCCAGCCCTGGCCAAAAACCGCAAAAAAAAAAAAAAAAAAAAAGAAGGTATTGTTTCTGTGTACGATTTAGTGGATACTGAGAAGGGGCCCACCCCCCTTCCCCTATCTGGGAAATTATGTTCCCCTATCCATTTATTACAGGGCCTAACAATCTAGCAGCAGAAATTCATCATCTTCTCCCTGACCCATTTAAAAATGTAAATGTCCTTGAAAGAAGTAACACTTTCAGACCTGGTTGGTCTTGGGCCTCACACAGGGTCTGGGTGCGTGAGCGAGAGTGAGGCTAAAGCAGAGAATGCATGTTTCAATTAAAGAGGTACGTGGTGGAGGGGAAGCCTTTCGGGCTTGGGGTATCTCTGAGGGAGGCAATAACACCCAAACAATACCAAAGAAGTCTCCACACTCCAACCTGACCCTTGTCCAGGGGCGGAGTTCACAGACTGGGCTGTGGGGCGGGGCTACTTGGTGGGGTTGCGCCTACTCTGCAAGCGGATTGGCTAGCGGGTGTGCGCCTGCAGCGGCAGAATTTAGGGGCTTACCCCCCACCTAGCTAGTCTTTCCAGCTGAGGATTCCTCTCCGCTCTCATCCCCGAAGCTTTTCAGAATCCGAGCCTGGAGGCCCTTTAAAGGGTGCCAGTTGCCCTTTGCTGGGTTCTGGGGCTTTGGTCCCAGACCGTAGGGACAGAGATGGCTTCCCTGCGAATCCGGGAGGCCAAGGAGGGCGACTGTGGAGACATCTTGAGGCTGATTCGGGTGAAGGCTGCGATCGGAAGCTGGGGGGATCTGAGGGGCTGAGGCTGAGCGGAGGTGGGGGAGGGATACACTTTGGAGCCTCCCTGCCCTAATCTAGTGTCTGTCTTCACCCCGTAGGAACTAGCTGAGTATGAGAAACTCTCGGATCAGGTGAAGATCAGTGAAGAAGGTGTGGGGGGTCAGCACCCGGAGCTGGAAAGGGGCTGGGGAGGAAGTGAGGGGTGGGCTCCCCAGGAGGCAGCTCCAGGATGGGCTTACACCCAGGTTCTCTTTTTCTCTTTGTCACAATTCTAATCTCTGCAGCCCTGAGAGCAGATGGCTTTGGGCAGAATCCTTTTTATCACTGTTTGGTGGCAGAGATTCTTCCAGCGCCTGGGGAGCTACAGGGTAAGAGATCCTGACCTCAAAAGTTGGCCTCTCGGGCCATAGGAGTAGGGCGCCAGACCCATATGCTGGAGGTGGCGGGTTCAAACCCAGCCCTGGCCAAAAACTGAAAAAAAAAAAAAAAAAGTTGGCCTCAGAGGTCTCCCACAGGCCCTCACAGGACTTACCCCTCTTCTCTCTCCCAGGTCCCTGTATGGTGGGCTATGGGGTATACTACTTCATTTACAGTACATGGAAGGGACGCAGCATCTATCTGGAAGACATCTATGTGATGCCTGAATATCGGGGTACTGGGCAGAGGCTGAGGCTGGGGTGGGAGCAAAATAACCCACATGCCCTACCACCATCCCCTACTCCCCACCCCCAATCCCAACTTGTGATATCCTTCAACTCAAATATATTACTCCTTTTGCCTCTTCCTTCCTACAACAGGTCAGGGAATTGGTTCCAAAATAATCAAAAAGGTGGCTGAGGTGAGGAGAGGGGTGGGGACTACAAGCTAGGCAAGGGTTTTATATTTTATTTATTTATTTATTTATTTATTGAGACAGAGTCTCAAGCTGTCACCCTGGGTGGGGTGCCATGGCATTACAGCTCACAGCAACCTCCAATTCCTGGGCTTAAGCGATTCTCTTGCCTCAGCCTCCCAAGTAGCTGGGACCACAGGTGTCTGCCACAACGCCCGGCTATTTTTTGGCTATTTTTTGGTTGCAGCTGTCATTGTTGTTTGGCCGGCCTGGGCTGTATTTGAATCTTCCAGCTTAAGCTACAGGCACTAAGCCATAGGCAAGGGTTTTAAATGAGGGCACTAAGGTTGATGAAGAGGTGAGAAAGCCTTTTTTTGTTTCTGACCTCAGGAAAGTGATTGATGTCTTCTCTCACAGGTGGCCTTGGATAAGGCTTGCTCCCAGTTACGCCTGGCAGTCCTGGATTGGAACAAAAGGGCCATAGACTTGTACAAGGCCCTACAAGCCCAAGATCTTACTGAAGCTGAGGGCTGGCATTTCTTCTGCTTTGAAGGAGAGGTGATGAAGGAGTTGGCAGGAAGGTGATGCCATCATCGCTTGGGGATCTCTCCCTACTTGAGTTTCTCCTTCTCCACCAACTCAAGACATAGGCCTCCCTGGAGGAGGGTGGGTTGGGGGGGTCCTATGCTGAAGTATGGATAAGGCAGAATTGTGGGAGAGGCCTTTGTTGAGTGTGATATATAATAATAAATGAGAATTACTATGTCCTGTTGTGGTATTGGATAGAGGAGTTGATGAGGTGGTAAGCTTCAGCCCCTTCAAGACCCTTCTGCATGGAGCCTTTTGGTCAGTGGATGTTTTTCCTGGGGGTAAGGGTGGGCCCAATGTGACTTTAACTCTCAGTGGGCCAGGGTCTTGGCTGTGGCCTGTAGAAGATAAAGAGAAGCAAGGAGCAAGCTTGGTACATCAAACCTGTTGATAACATTTGGGACCCAAAAAAAGGCCTCAAACTTCTAGACTGAGCTGTGCCAAATCCAGGACTGAGGTGGGCCTATAGCTCAGCAGACAGAACAGGCTGCTGCCACCTGGTGTTGGCATTTCAAGGGACACTGAGAGGGATCATTTGCCCCAAATTTTCTTAAGAACTCTGGCTAGGCAGTGGCTCACACCTGTAATCCTAGCACTGGGAGACCAAGGCAGGTGGATTGCTTGAGCCCAAGGGTTTGAGACCAGCCTGAGCAAGAGTGAGACCATTTCCACTAAGAATAGAAAAAAGGGCGGCGCCTGTGGCTCAAAAGGGTAGGGCGCCGGCCCCATATGTTGGAGATGGTGGATTCAAGCCCAGCCCCAGCCAAAAAATAAAAATAAAAATAGAAAAAAACAGCTAGGTGTGGTGGCAGGCGCCTTTAGCCAGTTACTGGGGAGACTAAAGTAAGAGGATCGTTTGAGCCCAAGAGTTTGAGGCTTCTGTGAGCTATGATGATGCCACAGCACTCTACCTAGG